TGGGAGGCAGCGCCCTCCCTCCAGCCTCCGGTGGTGACCGTAGCCGCTCCTCTCTCCCTGACGCCTACGCCCATCGCTGCACAGCCCCATCGGGGCGCCGGGCACAGCCCACCAACGCAGGCGGCAGGACCAGCCCGCAACCGGACCTCTAGCTCAGAAACCCGGGAACAGGCTGTGCTCGGCGACACCTCCAGGAAAGACAAGAGGAGAGAAAAATGCAAGACCATATGCTCGTATCACGTGGCCTCCCCAGCAGCGGCGCCCACCTGTGCCTTCACCTGTAACTAAACACGGCGAGGGGGACAGAGAGCGGAGGCGGGCGGCCGCAGGGTGGGCCTCGCTGCCCCTGCCTGCCAGAGTGACCTGGGGCAGGACCCCCCCCACTCAGGACCTGAGTCTGCCCATCTCTGCTGAGCGTGACTGACTTGTGGGTGGCAGGCTTTCCCTCCTCCCCTCCCCTTACCAGGCCCAGCCACAGTGGCTGCCTTCTGTCCCCAAAGGAACCAAGCCTCCCTTACAGTGCTCCCCTCACCTCCCCCTCCTCACCAGGCCACTTCCCGCCCAGTCTTCCCAGCTCAGTTCAAACACCGGGAGGCCTTCCCTGATTGCCGGATGTGCCCTCAAAGCCCTCTGTCCACGTGGGGAATTGGGCAATCTGTGGCTCACCAGGGCCTGGAATTCCCACAAGCTGAGTCAGCCAGGGGCTGAGCCGGGCCCCAGTCCAGGCCTCCAAGCCCTGCTCTGTCTCTCCCACAAGTCCCGGTGTATGCGCAATCCTTCATTCCTCCCATCAAGAGGCGATACCTGCCCTGGCCGGTTTGGCTCAGTGGTTAGAGCATCGGCCCGCAGACTGAAGGATCCCAGGTTCGGTTCCGGCCAGGGGCACGTGCCTCAGTTGCAGGCTGGATCCCGGGCCCTGGTCAGGGCACGTGCGGGAGGCAACCAGTTGATGTGTCTCTCTCACACTGATGTTTCTCTCTCTCGCTCTCTCTGAGGGATGGGGCAGTACAAGCACAGACGCCTGGCCCACCAGTGCCCGGCAGCCCCTGGGAAATATCGGAGCCCAGCCCCCAGCCACGCAGAGGAGGGCACTGTGTGTACCCCGGCCTGGCTCAGCTGCTTCCTCGCAGTGACCTTGCCCCTGACCAGGCCAGGTGCTTAGCTTGTCTTTCTCTCCCCAGTGAATCCACGTTCTAGCAGGACATGTCCCACGTCTTATTAACATCTTTGTCTCCTTATGCCTTGCTTGAGGTCTGGCATGAAGGAGCCACTGACCAATACCTGTTGAAGAATAAATGAGCAAATGAACCCAGAGGGCCCAGACTCTCCTCACGCTGAGAGACTAAATACAATGGCTTGACCCAGGAGCTGTATAGTGAGGCCGCTGTTCAATTCAATACACCCAGTGTTTATTGAGCACCTACTGTATGCTGGTGTTTTATGTGCATTAAAAATATATAGGTTACGCCTGGGCGGTGTGGCGCAGTCGTTGAGCGTCTACCCATGAACCAGGAGATCACAGTTTGGTTCCTGGTCAGGGCACATGCCCGGGTTTTGGACTTAATCCCCAGTAGGGGGCGTGCGGGAGGCAGCTGATCAATGACTCTCATCAGTGATGTTTTTCTCTCTCTCTCTCTCCTTTCCTCTCTCTGAAGCCAATAAAAACATATTTTAGAAATAAGTAAATAATAAAATGATGTAGCATTCATATATATATATCTATATATGTATATATAGATATATACACACACATATAACATAAATTTGTTAAAAGAGCTGCTGTAGTGCAGTGTAGGCCAGAAACATGAAAGCTCTGAGTCTCACCACCTCTGTTCACACCTCACCCCATCACTTGCTGGCTTTATGACCGTGGGCTTATTCCTCACTAACCCCTTTGTGCCTCAGTTTCCTCATCTAGCTAAAAAACTCCTCCCTGCTGAGGGTTGAGTCCCTGAGCATAGTAACCCCGCCGGGATGAAATGCCCAGCGAATGTTCCTGTGGTCGAGCCGCCTAGCTCAGTGGGTGGTTTAAGCTGCAGGAGCTCCAGAGAGACTTCTCTCTCTCGGGTGCTCCAAGTAGAGAGTCAAAGCCATTTCTAAGACTCGCATCTAATTCATTGCCCTCGGGGCCCCCAGCTTTTCAGCGCCCGGAGGGAACCATCTGCAATCCTTCAGTCCTCCCCAAAGTCAGAGGGGAATGAGGCCAGGGCCGGGTTCGGGTTCACTTCCCTTCTGATTCCACGCCTCTGCTTATGCCGGTTCCTCTCCCCAGAACATCCACCCTCCCTGCACCCCACAGTGGCATTTCATTCATCCATTCTTCAAGCTCAGCATCTGTAGCAGACGAGGGAACAAAAACAGGGCCAACCGGTGGGAAACTACGCAGCCAGGAACAAGGAACATGGCCGTTCTCTGTCCTTACGCCAAGAGAGTCCAGGACACACTGTTACTAAAAAATGTTGCTCATGATAAGAGACACTGGAGCTTCTCTGACTTTGGTGTGCACAGGAATCTCCTGGGGCGCTTGGTTCTTACTAAATTCAGGTTGTGACCCCTCGGGTCACGAGTGGGGCCTGCGAGTCTGCATTCCCGACCAACTCCGGGGGCTGCTGGCCCCGCGTCAGTGACGCAACGAACAGGGGATATGCAGTGTGATCCGGTTTCTGTAGCAACAAAATGAACGTGTATAGGGAAAACAGAATAAACACCAAACTGTAAGCATCGGTTATCTCTGGGTGGGAGGATGATCGGGAGCTTTCAAGTACTGTGTAAAGTGTGATTTTTACAAATGTTTCACTATCCTAATTAGGAGGAACAACCCAGCCATGAGGGCACCCTCCAGGCAGATACCGGCGAACAGCACCCGCTCGGCAAGTGAATGGCCCTGCTCCAGGCTTCAGCTCTCCAGGCTTCAGCTCTGCTCCCTCTGGCTCTCAGAGCATAATGACAGGCCGGCTGGGGCAGCTGCTCAGGGTGTGCGCCGTGTGCAGCTGACGCTCCCGCTGTCGGGAGGGCTGTTACCACTGGCATCCCCAAAGCAGCGGTTTAATAAGAGTCTCCTTAGCGCCAGGCCAGGGCCATGCCCTTCACAGGCATTCGGATCTGACAGTATCCCCATTACCCAGATTGGATAACAGAGGCCTAGAGGGACCTGGATCCCACAGCTGTCTAAGACCCAGGCCCGGCTCCTAGGACAGGGCCTGCCTGGAAAATTGCCCCCCTACGTGTCTACACGTGTCACTCTCTCACTTCCTTCACGTCTCTGCTTCTTTTACCTTAACAATTAAAAATAACCCAAGCCCAGCCGGGCGTGGCTCAGCGGTTGAGCATTGACCTAGGATCCAAGAGATCGGGGTTCGATTCCTGGTCGGGGCACATGCCCAGGTTCCGGGCTGCAGCCGATCAATGACTCTCTCA